CCGGGGCCCGAGGCCCTGCTTCAGGCTGAGGGCCCGGGAAGGAGCCGGTACCTCTCCACCTCCTGCAGCTCCCGCTCCTCTGGTTCCCAGTCGGAATCGGGGTCCGGCTCGCGGCCGGTAGATCCCGGGCCTGCCACCCCCTGGGTCGCGAATCCACAGCGAGCGACGACGGCACGGACGCGCGCCCCGAGCAGGAGACTCAGAGGACCCGCCATGTTGATCGGACTGCTTGCAGCCTGAAACGCAGCAACACCGGAAACCGAGGGGCGGGACCGGAAGTGGTGGTGCGGGACCCGGAAGTGATGTCCCCGGTCTTCCCCGCTTCCGGCAGAAGGCGGCCAATCTGGGCTGGAAGAGCTCTGCGGCCCATCCTTTCCGCTGTAAATAATAGGAGCGATTCCCGGGTACGCGAGAGTCCGAATGAGGTGAAGGACGCTTCTACAAAACCGCATAAATTTTAATAAAATGACGGGTTCACTTGCCAAGAGTCAACCCTTCGTCCCTACGGCAACCCAGGCCGGCCTGTTCCCCCCACGGCGGCGGGAAGGACCCGCGTCGGCGGTCCTCTGATGACGACAGCCCCCTGCCTCGGGCGCTCCGGCCCCGGCCGGACCCAGGGTTCGGACCCATCACCTAGCGACAAATCCAGGCTCAGGTTTGAAGGGCGGAGACGACGAGTGCCTGGCCGGCCCTGGCACCTCTTCCTTCGCTTTTTAGTCTTTTTCTGATCCGAAAATAATCTTGGGGTATCGAAGAATTCCTGGTGTCTTAGGTTTGAGCCTGATGCAGACGGGGCTCCTGGCCAAGGCTTTCCCAACTCGAGCTCCGTGGCAGTCTTTGGTTAAAGAGCAATGGCTGAAGGCCCTTTGCCCCTTAGGACCCCCGGAGGGGGCTGTCCGGCGGCGGTGGGCGCGGGGCTCCCGCCCTGCGTTTACCTGTGGTGGCCGATGTCCAGGAGTGCGGTGGCGCTCTCCGTCAGGGGCGCGGGGGTAGGGCAGAGGGGGAGGTCCTGGGCCTGGGCTGCTCTGTGTTCAGAATTTACCACGCAGGGCAAGGTGCACTCAGTCCACGGGCTACTTATCACGCTTTCCCGTTGCAGGAAATAGCCCTGCTTGGGGGTTAAAGAGGATGGCACTGATCCTGCCATGGCTCTGTTTATGGCTTCTAGCCTCCTGCTGGCCTGGCCTTCTGCAGTAGAAACATGGGGGCCCCCTGAGTTGCTGCTACTCAACTATTTCCCAACTCTGTTGCCCAAGTACCAACACAGAGGCATGGCTGGCACCCGCCCGAGGCTTCCCTGTACCCCGCTGCACTGTCCCTGGTGTGTTTACGTGTCCATTTCCCCCTGAGGTGAGTGCCGGGGCTGTGTTTCTGCCACTCCTATCACCAGGCTCTAGCTCAGTGGTTCTCAACCTTCCTAATGCCTCGTTCCTATCACCAGGCTTTAGCTCAGTGGTTCTCAACCTTCCTAATGCCGCGACCCTTTCATACAGTTCCTCATGTGTGGTGACGCCCAATTTCATTGTTACAAATTGAACATAATTAAAGCATAGTGATGAATCACAAAAACAGTATCTAATCATATATGTGTTTTCCGATGGTCTTAGGGGACCCCTGTGAAAGGGTCACGACCCACAGGTTGAGAACCTCTGCTCTAGCTAGTACGTGGGAGGAGGTAAATAAATACATGGGACCCCGGCCTCCCCAGCTCCCACTCTGCTGCAAGTGCCATCTTCTATTTTGGGAGCATCCCCCCTGTGATAGGTGCTGGTGGAAATGCACACAAGTCAGAGCGAACCAAGCGAGTGTTGCATACTTACGGCTGTTAAGCCTGAATCTGGAAGTGGGAAAGCAGCGCCTCCCGGATTTCCTCAGTGACAAAGAGCAGGGGCCAAAGGTGGCTGGGTCTCTTGTCCAGTGGAAGGTCCTGGGCTGCAGGTAGCACCCGGACTGGTGCAGGAGTGCAGGGTTGCTTGGCAGTGGCCCTAGGATCCTGGGGATCAACTCGGGCTGGACTACGTGCAGGAAGTGAGGAGGGCCCTGCTCTTTGTAGGCCCCTCTCAGGAGGGCCAATGGGAACAGACTCAGAGACGGCAGTTCTTGACTGCTCAGCCCGTCCTGGTGAGATCTAGGCTAGAGGAGAGAAGAAGCCTCTTACCACATTTCTGGTGAGGCTGGGGGGAGTGGTGGGAGAAATAGGGAACTGAGCCCTCGCTGGTTTGGCTCAGTGGATAGAGCGTCGGCCAGCGGACTGAAGGGTCCTGGGTTCAAGTCCAGTCAGGGGCACGTGCCCGGGTTGCAGGCTCGATCCCCAGTAGGGAGCGTGCAGGAGGCAGCCGATCAGTGATTCTCTCTCATCATTGATGTTTCTCTCTCTCTCTCTCCCTCTCCCTTCCTCTCTGAATCAATAAAAATATATTTAAAAAAAAGAAATAGGTAACTGGAAAATCTTCCAGGCCGTAGCCACTACGGAACCAGTTACTCAACAAAAACAGGACCCACAGGGTTGCTGTTAGCTCAGGGAATAGTGAACACGGCAGCTGCTTCGTTGGCCCAAGGCGTTACTTATCTCCAGCTAGAGCCACGGCACTGGCCGGGCCAGGGTGGAGCCACGGAGGGTGGGGTGATTGCCAGATGGGAATATAGAGAGCCAGTCCCTTGTGAGAAGGTTGGGAGCGGCACTTGGCTGGAACCAGTGCTACAAACAAGGGAGCTTGGGAGCGGACGTGAAAAGAACCAAGAGACTCTTTCCTAAGGCCCAGCATACACTGCTTTCCCCGCCTGCACTGCCAGATACCATCCCATCAGCCTCCTGGGCCGCAGCCACCACCGTGCGCCAGGACAGCCTTGGTCCCCGCTCTGAGAGACGCTATGTAGAGCCCCTCACCCGACACTCAGGAGGTTTCTTCTGGCTCTGCTGGCTGCATTGCACGATGCTGGTGATCTGCTCGACGATCCCCAGGCTTCGGATGAGATTCTCCCTCCGCAGCAGGGCATTCAGCCGCTCCAGCTCCTCCTCTTCCACAATTTCTTGAGGCTGCATGGTGTCCAGGTGTCCTGGTCGCAGCTACAAGGCACATGAGAGAGGCATGCAGGCTCTGCAGTGATGAGTCCCAAACCATCAGCAAGTCGACTGCAGGGCTCCTGCCCCCTCTACCGCCATCCCTTCCCCTGACCCTCGAGCCAGGTCCCCTTTGCTACCCGTTCTCTCACGATCTGTTCCAAAAAGTCAGATTCCGTGGACTCATTAGGAACTCCTCTCTCTCAAATGCGGAGGAGAGGGCAGCAGATCCCCTTCTCTAATAGTTCCAACCCATTTTCCCGAAGAAAGGCAAGCGCCACGAAGCCCCTGACACCTTTTGCTCCCGTGTCCGGTTCCGGTAGGCCAGGTGGGTGGCAAGGCTCTGGAACCGGGGCCTGGATCGGGGCCTGGATCGCCTGTTCTCCCCTGCCGACTCGCCCGGGTTCTGCTCCTTGTTGTCCTTTGGCTTCTTAGAGTCTAAGACCTCCCGCTGCTTCTGCTTGAGGCGGAACTCTTCCCGTTGCTGCCTGACAAGATACGGCAGCTTCAGTCACTGGAGAAATTGTGGTGGGAATTGTGGGGGGCGGGGAGGCATATGGGGATGGGAGAAGAGTAGGACATTCTGATCCGTTTTGGCGACTGATGGGAGAGGAATGTGGGGAAGATGGGAAACCTACTAGACTGAATCAGGAAGACTGTTAGGATTTATAATCCCCTCCCCCTCTTTCCTCTAGCAGCGGTTCTCAACCTGTGGGTCGAGACCCCTTTGGCGGTCGAACGACCCTTTCACAGGGGTCGCCTAAGACCATCCTGCATATCAGATATTTACAGGACGATTCATGACAGTAGCAACATTACCGTTTTGGAGTAGCCACGAAAATAATTTTATGGTTGGGTCACCACATGAGCAACTGTATTTAAAGGGCCAGAAGGTTGAGAACCACTGTAACTAAACTGAATCAGGAAGACGGATAGGATTTATAATCCCCTCCCCCTCTTTCCTCTAGGGCCGTGATCAGCAAACTGCGGCTCGCGAGCCACATGCGGCTCTTTGGCCCCTTGAATGTGGCTCTTCCACAAAATACCACGTGCGGGCGCGCATACAGTGCGATCGAAACTTCGTGGCCCATGCGCAGAAGTCGGTTTTCGGCCTGGGCGAGTCTCTTTTGAAGAACTGTTGATATTTGGCTCTGTTGACTAATGAGTTTGACGACCACTGCTCTAGGGCAGTGGTTCTCAACCTTCCTAATGCCGAGACCCTTTCATACAGTTCCTCATGTGTAATTTTGCTACTGTTATGAATCGTAATGTAAATATCTGATATGCAGGATGTATTTTCATTGTTACAAATTGAACATAATTAAAGCATAGTGATTAATCACAAAAACAATATGTAATTATATATGTGTTTTCCGATGGTCTTAGGCGACCCCTGTGAAAGGGTCGTTCGACCCCCAAAGGGGTCGCGACCCACAGGTTGAGAACCGCTGCTCTAGGGGCTGGCATCCTCTCCACCCTGCTGGGGAGCAGTTCCCCTGAAGGAGTTGCCCCCATCCGCGTGGAGAGGGGCATGCCGGGCGGAGTACCTGGCGCACTCCTCTCGGGCCTTGGAAGCCGCCGTCTCCTGGAAGAGGGAGCCACTGTGCTTAAAGAAGGGCGCATACTTCTCTGTGTCAGGCCCAGGGTAGATCCTCCGGTACCCGCCAAGGTGGGAGTCCTCATAGCATTCCTGGTCCAGCAGTGCCGCCTGGGACAGCTCCATTAGGACTCGCCTAAGAAAACCAAGCTCTGGGTGAGTCGGGAGGTCTGCGAGGAGGCAGGCCGACTGCGGCGTCATGGCCTTTGCCCTGCCCCTGCGGTGAGCGCTGCCAGCCCCGTCTGTGTGTGGTAATGAAAACAGGCTTGACTTAAATAGGGTTTCTAATCACAGAAAAGCTAGAAGAGCAGAAAGAAGCTAAAAACTGCCCGTCGTATTAGGATGCAGTGAGCATGTCAGTCATGAGCACAGACTGAGGCAGGACCTCCTGAGTTTGAATCCTGGCTTTGCCACTCAGCAGGCCCTTCTTTTTTATAATATGTTTTAATTTTTATTATTTTGTTTTATATTTTTATTGATTTCAGAGAGGAAGGGAGAGGGAGAGATAAAAACATCAATGAGGAGAGAGAATCATGGATCGGCTGCCTCCTGCACACCCCACACTGGGGATCGAGCCCACAACCCAGGCATGTGCCCTTGACTGGAATTGAACCTGGGACTCTTCAGTCCGCAGGCCAACGCTCTATCCACTTAGCCACACCGGCCAGGGCAGCAGACTCTTTATTTATTCCCTCCTTCCTTTCTTGTTTTAAATGAAATTGGGATCATACAACAGCATTTGTAAATGGCTGCCTAATATTCTAGTGCACTAGAGCCCATTGCACGAAGATTCACGCAATAGGACTTCCTTCCCCTGGCTGCTGGCAGCGGTTTTCCTCGGGCACCCGGGACCCAGGCCTTTGGTCCGGCCGCAGCGGAGAAGCCAAGCCTCTTCAGTCTTCAGTCTTCATTCGTCTTCAGTCTTTGCTCGGGCAGGAGCCTTCAGTCTTTGCTCCGTGCCTGCATATGCAAATTAGCCCACCATCTTTGTTAGGTTAATTTGCATGCTCATCCTGATTGGCTGGTGGGTGTAGCGGAGTGACAACCAATTTACATCTCTTTTATTAGTGTAGATGATTGTACTTTTGTTTATTAAGTCCAAAGGTTTTCCACCTTTTATCCCCATTGAAAGACACGGTTGATAAAGTCATGTGCACAATCCAATCCTGCACGAATACCCAGGGCAAATAGTTACACTTTACCTCCACTCACACAGACAGCTGAGTGCCTACTGTGTGCCAGACCCCCCCAGGATATTATGGCAAATCAAGTACACATGGGTCCTGCATCTTGCAATGCAAGTGGGGAAGAGGGACGTATTTATTATAAGAATAATCCTAAATCTCCAATTCATTTTTTATTGATTTTTCTTTTTTTGAGAGAGAGAAACATCGATTTGTTGTTCCACTTATCGATGCATTCATTGGTTGATTCTTGTATGTGCCCTGACCAGGAATCCAACCCACAACCTTGGCCTATCAGGATGACGCTCTAACCAAGAGCTACCCGGCCAGGGACCATTCATTTTTATGTATCATCAACAAACTGTAATTTAGTGTCGGCAACAAATGACCATGTTTGCAAACCGTCTTACAATTAAAATAATAGTGGGTGGGCAACATTGATTTAAACTGCCCCCTAAAAACAAAATAAATGAACTGTCCCCTAATAGTGAATGACTTAACTGTTTTGTGTTTCATTACTTACTATACACTTCCTCAGGAAATGGTTTCTAGAGGAACTTTGTTAAAAAAAACAACAACAGCTAATCAAACCACATAATACTCCTTATAAGCTAATTATGAAATAGCTCTAACGTACACTGCTAAGCAGGGAAAGTTATGCTCCTGTCTGGGCAGTAAAAGGAGAAAAACAACTTGCATAAGTACATGTATGTGCATTGAATGTTTGTGAAAATACACGCACGACCCGAGAAACACTGAGTAGCCGGAGGAGAAGGGCAGGAGACAGGCTGATCGAGGCATCTTTTGCACTTGAACATACTTGTCTGTGACAGGTGATGTATTACTTATGCAAAAAATTGTTTTTAGTAGCTGATCAGCCCCGGGCTTTCATTCTCAGGAAAGTGATAACAAAAAAGACAAGTTACACAGCTTGCCCGGCGGGCGTGGCTCAGTGGTTGAGCGTTGACCTATGAACCAGGAGGTCACGATTCGATTCCCGGTCGGGGCACATGCCCGGGTTGCAGCAGGTTCCACCAGCATTGGGCATGCAAGAGGCAGCCGATCAGTGGTTCTCTCTCATCATTGATGTTTCTCTCTCTCTCCCTCTCCCTTCCTCTCTGAAATCAATAAAGACCTATTTTAAAAATAAATAAAACAGACACCCCGGACACCTGGGGTACCTGGCCTCGCGTAGCTCTTGGTGGCAGTGGAAAAGCCGCACTTTGACTCGCCGCTTCTCTTCCTCCATCACCTTCCTCTTGTCGCAGCCCCGGAGGTTGGCGAGGATCATGGCATCTAAGAGGAGGGCATCCTTCACCTCCCGATCCAGGCGCGAGTCCGTGGTGAAGCTTGGAGAGTGGTTCACCTGCCAGGAGGAGCCGTTATCCGCCCCCTTCCTAGACGCCCTGAGCAGGTGGCCTCCCCCTTCCTAGACACCCTGAGCAGGTGGCCTCCCCCTTCCTATACTCCCTGAGCAGGTGGCCTCTCCCTTCCTAGATGCCCTGAGCAGGTGGCCTCCCCCTTCCTAGACGCCCTGTGCCAAGGAAGCTGGATGCTCCGACTTCCAAGGCCACAGGACCTGCCACAGAGATCCCTCTAACACAGTGGTCGGCAAACCATGGCTCTCGAGCCACATGCGGACCTCTTGCAGGCCCAGCTTGGGTGGGTGGGGGCGGTCTAGTAGGAGGGCTTAGGAAAGACATCCCCGCCAGTGGCCTCAGCCAAGGAAGCTGGATGCTCCGACTTCCCAGGCCACAGGACCTGCCACGGAGATCCCTCTAACACAGTGGTCGGCAAACTGCGGCTCTCGAGCCACATGCGGCTCTTTGGCCCCTTGTGTGTGGCTCTTC